GAAAAGTACGTCGATTTATTAGCATACTATATAAATGAAAGTATACGACTGCAAAAGTTGACCTTCAACTCCGTTCTTCAGCTGAGTCTACCGATCTTGCTGCGATGCTGATCATGGCTCGAAGGACAATCAACTCATCAACTCGGTCGAACCTAAGTGGATTCATCAACTCAGTCACCTCTATAGTTTGCACTTTCCTTTTTATTGTTCTTATGGTTCTCCGTACATCCCGAGGACTGCATACCAACTGTCGATCGGAATGAGCGGGAATATTCCGAGAATTTCGGCACTTCGAGAAGATGAACTACCAACAAGCGCANGGAAGCACAATGATCCTTAGATTCGCCTGGGCGGTTCTTGTTAGTCTTTTGATGCCTGAGTTTTGTGTTTAAAAGGTCTCCGTGAGGCAATTTTCATGACTATGGTAATCGCTTTGTTCCACCCAACGCCTACCCCCATCTACGCATTCTTACCTACCTACCTAACGCTGAAAATCTATCTACCTAATTTATCTGTTACGTAACTAATTCGACCGGCTTGATTGACCAACTTTCATAACATAACGTCTCCAGACCCATTCTAATTTATTTCTAATTTCACTCAAATTAGCCATCCCACTATTAGGTATTACGTAACCATCTTCAACGTTCTGTCGTTCAAAGTTGACCAGTTTTCATTATGCGCTCACATCTTTTATTCCGGCTCGTTCTATGGTCACACTGACCCAGTTCATTATTTCGACTCCGAGTGAATTTGCTAATTACGCAACGACTAGACGTTGATCACATGATCCACAGGAATTATATGATGTCTATATGTAATACTTCCATCGATTTAACGTGTGGATACAACTGATTGCGAGCACGCTCAGTCACAATCCATACCAGGGTTGTTCCTGTTCGAAAGGACAAGTAAATGTATACGTTTGGGAAACAGTGGGAATTATATTTCTCGGCTTGGACAAACCAAATGTTTTCTGTCTCCCGAATATCGATGAGGTCATCACGGCGATATTCTGAATCAACGTGCCTGGTCCATAGGTCATGAGGCTTTTGACTCGGTCACTCAGTCCGCTGAAACACAAGACCAGCAATTTGTATGAAAGATGGCTAGATGTCTGAACTGTTGTAAATTCTTTCGTCATTATTCAACTAAATAACTTATTTAAGTTTAGAAAAGATCATTAACCGTCTAAGATTTTGTATAACATACACTCTACGAGACTCAAACGATAGCATTGATTGTTTCACCAGGTGTGGGTTAGAATCCTCCCAGGGTCACTGATCTTTTCGAAATTCAAGACGGTTGTCTTCCGTAAACTACCAAACAAACCTAATTTGAGAAATAATACATTTACTTTAGACGATGAATGTGTGTACGCAACATAGACACACTGCTGACAAGTGTGAAACAGGACAAAATAACTGTCCAGCACTCTCTCTCTGTCGGTCGTCACAAAGACTTTCATCACATTTTAATTCATTTATTTAATTTTTAACATCTCTAGTCTTTTTTAACGTGATAATGGTGATAGTTGCGCGTTCATACTCAAGCGATGTAAGTCAATTTAAAGCTCCGAATCTTTAGTTCTATGATTCGAACCCTGTGATCGTTATGTCATTGTGGTGACAATCAGTTTTAACACGACTTAATACCATACCTAACCCTTTGAGATATTTACAACATCTGTCGTCACCGGAAGCCTCATAGATTAGAGCATCAGTTTCCATAAGGAAAAAGTAGTTGCTCGTGAGTATCATGTATCACTTACTGTTTATCACAATAAAATATGTAAATAAAACTATATTATTCCGGAAAATCACATACGGGTGTCTCCTGAAAACCGTTGATCAAACTCAGTCTAACCTCTAACTCCCTTGTCTTCACTAAAACACACACACACGCAGACTTCGTGTGCAATCTGTGCCAGTATCTGCAAATGATCGCATGATGTGGGTTTAGCTCGGACTAGCCAGGTGTAAATAACTGCTGATTACAATCTCCCCTCGTGATTGCGTTCATAGAAGTAAAAACACGCATTACATTTGATAATCCGCGTATCTATTGATCATTTCCGACAAATTCACTGAACGCTACATACGCGTGATTATCTTTTCTCTGGCAGAATCGCGGGTGCAATTATCGGGGTACTGGCCTTCTCGTTCGGATTTCTTTTCATGCTCGTGTTTGTACCCTGGGGACGATGTCGGAAAAATTGCAGCCGAACCAATCGGGACAATACGTCCGCGGTGGAAAATCAGCGCTCTCCTCCCCCGTACTACACCCTGATCAGTGAACTGTTAAGTAAGTTGCTCAGGGATCATCACTTTCCGATTATCCCGTGGGTCAAGTTCATTTGTCGTACACAAACCAAATGGGTAACGTAACAACCACGTGATATTTGTCCTCCGGATTATGGGTTCAGTGATCAGCAGATTATTGTCTATAAAAGGATTTATGTTAGGTTTGTGAAAAGTTCAGTAGCCTCGGTGGGATTCGAACCCACGCATGGACACCGCCCACGCTTTTGTACAGCGTACGCTCTACCAGCTGAGTTACAAGGCCTACTGAACTTTTCACAATCCCAACATAAAACTTCAATCTGTCAAATAACCATTTATGAAAAGATTGATTTTGTTTGATACTCCCCATAGGTTCATAACCTGAGTTATTTAGGGAACATATGACATAGTTTGCTTTAGTGTATCATGGCACAGCCCTGTCGAAAGATACGATGCACTCAGTATAAGTCATTGTAAACAATCCGATTAAGTGCAAATTAATTAGTTCAGTTATATTCGATTAAGCAGTTATGAGGATTTAAGGTTGCAACTCTTACCGGCTAACAGGTGGCCTATGTTCTTTTGTTATACCCTATGTCACTGGACATTGTCCGGATTCGCTAACAGCCTCTGATGCATTTCTCCAATACGCGCTCACTGCCGCTAAATCAATTTCAACGGTGATTTTGATGTGAAAAAAAAATATTTAGCTAGCCCACTGGTTACGTAATGAATGTGGAACATGGAGCTCGTTAAGGCTCAGATCTTCCTGAGTCCAAATGGACAGGAAATTACTCCTAATGATTCCTTGTGCTAAATCTTCGTGAATCGGTCTGAATAATTCTTCTCGTACATTGAATTCAAAATGACAATAAATTTATTTCCCAATGTCCTCCCTTGTTTGTATTTGATACCATTTTGCCCAATTCGGATATGAGCAGTCTTCTTACACAGAACTCTGTTCCGACCAATAGTTCATAAAAGATCTTCACGTGTGACTGGATGACGTCTCTGGGATAAGCGTTAGCCATTTAATGATCCGCATGAGATGTGAATGAAGAAACACCCAGTTATTTGAAACAGAATAAGCTTCGCGTGAGCACATTGAACTAAATTACACTGGCACACTCGAGTTTTCGAAGTTCCCCTTCACATTTGTGATGGGAGTAAACATTTAGGATTTAAACTAGACCGTCGCCGTTAACCAACTTTTGTGATTCTTTATGTTTCGCTATCTAAAGAAGCTTTATGGTCATGTGTTTCTTCTACTCTGTATCATGCTAAAAGTTTGCAACACCAAAAACGTGACTCGATGCCTTGTAACTCTCTAGCTGGATTTCATTTCCAAGTTATTTTGCATCTGATTCAAACAACGACCTTCAGTCGTAAGCACAGTTGAAGCTCTCTGGGATGCCCTCCCCCCATCTCTGCCTCTCAATAATCTCCTTGTCATTGATCGAACTTGCTCCGGGGTGCAGAGAATTCATAAAGCGTATACGGGACTCTTCATCTCGGTGCACTTTTCAAGTTTGCGATGAACTTTACCACGGTAGTTCAATACGTGTTTGACCTAATCAAACAGAATATGAAGACATTGTGGTTTTCGCCTCATTCCTAACCGCGTGCAACATGTTTTAAACATGTTCTGGTGTGTATACAAGCTGTAAGGTGACAAAATATGGGTCATGGTGAAGCAACACCCTTTCCAAATTTCGTCGGGCAGGTGGGTAGGTTCATTGAGGACAGTTTGCACACCTCATAAACAGTGCATTCAACCAGGAGTTAGCTACCCATTGGTTAGTTCGTACGGTGGAAAAAACAAGAAAACAACAAACAAATGAAAAGTCGCACGAAGTTTGATGAAAATATTTTGAAGAACCAATCCTCATTCAACTATTTTCTATTCTCTACCTCCTAGTGGAGCAGGAAATACGTATAACAGCCGCTCAACACATACAATTCTGTCAAAAGTGAAACACTGATGTACATAAATCGATTTTTGCTGAGCGTTCGTCAAATCAACACGGTCCATAACTGTAAAACGAGAATTCCTTGATGAAATCGGATAGCTAATATTCAGTCAATAAGGAAACAATCAAACGATCGATCCGGGTGGATAAGTAAACTTATTGGCAGATGTTCGAGTTAGGGTGCATTCCATTTTAATAAACGAACAGACTGGAATTTGAGTTATTTTTCCACAATGATTGCTTCTTCCCACTGATCCGTAAATTTGACAGGGTCTTGACTGGATTCAATTTCTTTCAGACTTCACCTTCACGCACATTCCTCTACTCTTCCAGTCAACCATACACTAGGGGGGGGCACTAAACTCGAGTTTCGCTCTTATAGGGGCTTATCCACTGTCCATCCGCCCGGGATTTGGCATTCGGACCTATCGGACATGTGAGGCGTATTCATTAATACTGTGCCAACCAGGTCATACCAGGGCTGAACTGAATTGCCGCTTCATGGTTGTTCACGTATCGTCTTTGGATATAGTCGGTAAGATCATTTGGGCACAGTGGTAACGCACACGCCTTCCGTGCGATGGATCTGGAGTTCGAATCCCGGACGTGACGGTGGATATGCAATACTGATGATGATAAGAGAATGGTCAGTTCCAATCAATCAATCTCAACTATCCCAAAACAGTACTCGCAAGTACTGTGAGTTGAATGTGAATTCAATTTAGTACAATCTGCAAGTCAACTATGAAAACATACTTTCATCAAGTTATGTGAAAAAATCGTTTGTATTCCAATACGAAATCATATCGTGCCCATTTCTGTAGTTACTCATATGTATACACATATATATATATATATATCACCAGCCTAACATTAAAGGTATGTAATAGAATGATTATTAAAAACGAAGTCCCTGTTCCACTTGTGGTCCCTGATTGGACAAAAAACGACTTATCTAGTACATGACGTACTCTGCTGCAGCATACTGTCCGAAGAACTGAGAACTATTCTGAGGACGACGATGTTCTTGAAAACACATTCTCTCCTTTCATAAGAAATACGAACACATGCTAAATCTTTCGATTAAAAAACAAAATAAAGCTTGTTCGTTTGTTTATCGGGGATTGTTGTAACACTAACACCATGTGTTTTTGGGCGCACCTCATATGTAAATCCCGATTTACTTCCTTTCTCCGGAGAGAGGTTATATGTATTGGTTCAAAATAATTCCTGAAATACAGTCCGCATCCATTGGTACCAATCGAAAATATCACGTAAATTGAGAATGTCATTGGTATTCGGCTATATAACTTCTTTTATTTCGTTAGAAGCACCTAAACTCAACAAATTCAAAAGTAATATTACAGGAAGTAAAGCAAAGGACACTTGGTTGAATTAATTTAAATATA